GGGACACCAAGTGCCCATCCCATGCCCGTCCCATGCCCCTGGCCACCACACCCCAGGGTATTTCCAGGGCTGGACAGGAGCTGTGTGCCACTGCCAGCCTTCTCTGGGGATGCCAAGAAAGCTCCAAGAAAAACAGCTTCAGAAAATCCTTTATGCCAACCCTCACACACACAAAGACTTATTATGTGCCAGCGAATTCTCTTCGCCCTCCACAACTGCAGGGGCTGCCAGGCTTGTCCCAGGGAGGAATCGTGCTCCCAGCCCTGTGCCACGGGGCTGAGCTGGAGCCACCTGCTTCCCTGCTCCAAAGGGAATCAACAGGTTTTTCTGGGACAGATCCTGGCTGCAGGTGGGGTGCAGATTGGGCTGTCCCCACACCATGTGCTGGGCTGTGCTGTGTCAGGCTTCTGCCTCTGCTGATGGGAAGAATTCCAAAACCCTGAGAAAAAAAGAGGCAGCAGCCCCATCCCAGCTCTCAGCCCTGTGGGTTTTGCTAAGGGAGGGGTGAGTTATGGGGAGAGGAAGGTTTTAAATCAGTGCCTGGGATATAATTGCACATTCTGTTTATGAGCCTGGGACAGCAACACAAAATACCAGGAAAAGACTTGAAAAGAACCAGAAAACACAATCCCAGTGAAATCCAGCAGTTCTTGCTGAGCTGCAAAATTTGCTCTCTGCCTTTTTCTTGTAGAAATCAAGGAGCTCATCAGGCTCCTGCCTTTCAGCAGTGATGATGTGGGAAGCAGGAGAACAGCCACAGGGATGGGGAAGCACCAGGAGAACGGTGGAGCACCAGGGATGGGGCTCCCAAGGCTCCGTCAGCCCCCACGTGTGAGCATGGCAGAGCCTGGAGCCCTCCACAACCAAGTAACAAGGCCCAGAGGTCTCAAGGGTGATGCAGCAGTTCAGGGTGAAGAGAAGATAAAGCAGATGGTGTCTGCCAGAGCGTCCCAGCCTCAGGACCAGCCAGGCCTGAGGGGAGCAGGGAGTGGGGCGCAGGTAACGGGCACCCACAGTCACTGGGAGTGGCACTTACCAGCTGGCCAGGACACGTCTTCACTTCCCCAGGAGACAGCGAGAAGGCATGAACCTCATCTTCCCCCCAGTGTGGGGTGTTGTGGTCTCCCCCCAGGTCTGCCCCGAGCAGCCCCTCTGGATCTGTTTTGCCATTCCCGAGCACGTGGCCAGGCTTTGTCTGGGAACATTCATCGAAGGCCAACAATTCACTGCTGACAGAAAGTTTATTCTTGCCTGTAGCATTCCTGCTGTGCCCTGCAGGACTCTCTGTGAGGCTGAAAAATCTTGGCCAGTGCCTTCCAGTTCTCCTGGGAAAGGATCCCCACAGGAAGGGCACAGAGTTGTCACGGATCAGCACACAGTCAGCTTCATCCTCAGGGCTGCACTTGCTGCTCCTTGGACAGAAGAAGCCATAGATACCTGCCTCACCTTCCTCATCTTCATCTGATGAGGATAAGTGCAGGGTTGAGAGCTCATCCCACTGGCCTGGAGACACCGGTGGCTTTTCTTCGTGCTTAGCACTCCTTGTATCCATTGTCCATGGATGGAACCCCCACCGCTGGCAAAGCTGGCAATGCAAAACCATAACTTCTTAATAAGAACCACCCAGAAGATGACATTTAGTTTGCTTTTCCTATTTTCCTTTCCATCCCATTTGATTAGAAAGGGATGTAATGGCCCTTACTCCAGGAATGTCCATGCTCTCCTCACTGGAACATGTGAACTCACAGTGCAAGCTGTTCAGCTCAGCCAGCTGGGTTTGTATTCTTCATTTCTCCTTTTACCCTTTCAGAGGATCTTGTGCTTCACATCATTCTCTTTCCACTGCCAGCAGTGCAGCACTGGGGAAGAGGAGGGGTTTAAAGGGACTCATGGATTTTACCCAGGTGCTGTCTGATGTGTTTCAGGGCAGAAGATGCTGCCCCCAGACCCTGGGGAGCAGCTGGGGCTGAGCCTTCTGCACAGGCAGGAGGAGTTCAGCCCAGACAGGGGATCACTCCATCTGCTCCCACCCTGGGCACGGCAGCACTGGGGGAGCTCATCCCCCACCGCCAGCACCACAGGGACAATGGAGCACTGTGCAGCAGGAGCCTTCCCGCTGTGCCTCGCTGTGCCCAAGGCTCTGACTGCTGCTCCCTCACCTCCATCCACAGCACAAACACAAGCTGCTGAGCCACAGACAGCTCAGAATGCAGATGTGCCGAGGTACCAGGCACGGGGAGGCCCTGACGCCCCGAACAACGCCTTGTTCCCTTCCCTGAACCATGGGCAGAGGGGACAGAGGTCAGGGAGAGTAACCGGGGCGGAAACAGCAAACCTGTCCTTCCTGCATCAGGAAGTGCACTTATTATTGCTTTCTGTTCCAACTAGGACTGGGAACAAATCTACAGCAAGCTTTCCCTTCTCTCTCTCAGGGATCCATCCCCTGCAGCACAGGCATTGCCCCCTGACAGCAGAGCCCCACAGTGACCCTCAGTTTGTGCCCTCAGCAGCCCCAGGTGTCGGGCTCCCTGTCCCACTGCCCCAGTGCCGCTCTACCCGTGTCTGTGCTGAGGAACCCCCCGTGCTGGGCACAGCGTGCCCGTCCCACCCTCGCTGCCTGCCACCCCTGTGCTAGTACCTGCCACCCCTGTGCTAGTACCTGCCGCCCCTGTGCTAGTACCTGCCACCCCTGTGCTAGCACCTGCCGCCCCTGTGCCGAGTACCTGCACTGTGGAGACTCAGCAGCCTCCAGCCTGACTTCCAGCTCCCACAGCCATGCCATCGATCCTGCCAGGAAAGCCAAAGGTCGGAGCTCACGGGTTCACCGCCGTGCCAGGGGTCAACAGCTTCACTGGGTGAGTTACTCCCTTTTTTTACCGGGAAAGTCCTTCCTACCACTGTCACCTGCCCCATTCATGCCCCCTAAGTTACAATCCAGACAGAACACAATATATTTGCCTTAAAAAATTGGGGGAAAAAATGCTAAATGCAAGCTTTATCCAAATAAAGCGTAACTACAAAGCATGGAGCTGCATCTGGGAACAGCTCTTTGGAGAGGGAGAGTTGCATTTTCAGCCCAGTAAATTGACTTTTTTAAAAAAAATGCCCCCTGTTGCATGAAAGTATCTTCTTGCCCCAAACTGGTAGCTCACCGAGCAGGCAGAGAGCCCGCAGCAGGGGCCGAGGCTGGTAACTCACAGCTCACCTCCCGTGGCCGCCTGCGAGCCCCGTCCTGGCTGCGGCACCCGAAAACCCCGGCTGTGCATCCCGGAGCAACCCCAGTGGAGCCGGAAAGCAAGGCGAGGGGAGAACCAAGCTACAGAAGGCGGTCAGGGACGGCGCGGTCCTGCTGCCCTCTTGTGACCATCGGGCCGTGCTGGCCTTCCCAGCCCAGAGCCCCTGCCCGGCACAGGGGCAGTGTGTCCCTGCTGCCACCAGACCCGGGCCAAGGCTCACCAGCCACGGCTGAGGCAGGACTGTCACCCAAGTGACTGTCACCCACTCTGCGTCCCCAGTGCAGAGCATGGACACGCTCCTGGCCATTGCCTCAAATCCCAGCGCAGGACAGGGATGGGGTTAATTGCCATTGGCTCATTAGCCAGGTCAGGGATGAGGTTAATTGCCTATCGTCCATTAGCCACTCAGAGATGGGGTTTAGTACCCATTCATTCATGAGGCACCATCTTAACAGGTCTGTTCCCCCTTCACCCCCACCTCGTTCAGCCCCCAGCACACTGAGCCCTGGCCAGTGCTGCTGGGGCACACTCGGGTCCCTGGAGTGGTTCCCAGGACCTCCGGGCCCTGAAGCCACCTGAACCCCAATTCTGTGGCACACCAACAGGGCTGCTCCTTCCCTGAGCTGTCTGTGAGCAGCTGGGAGCACCCACAGGATCTGAGCCTGAGCAGGGTCATGTCCCGGCTCAGCTCGGGGGGCTCTGGCAGCACATGGTGTGTCCTGCTGTTCCTGCTGGGCCAGGGGGTCATGAGGGCAGGGACTGGGGAGCTTCCCCCTGCTGCCTCAGCCGGGCTGGGGAGCTCCCGTGGGACAGGCTGTCCCTCACCCAACACAGGTGCCACAGGCACAGAGAGCACAGTGCTTCCATCCGCTCATCACACTGCCCACGGGACTTTCAGCCCGTTTCAGTTTTCAAAGTTAAAAACAAATTTTCTTTTTATTGGTATTAAATAGATCAAAATTAAACACATACAACAACTTCGGCTGAGAAACAGTATTAAAAAAAATCCTAGTAGGAAAGCCAGTCTGGTTTGTGCATCAAAAAATCAGCTGCTTCTCTGTAAAGCAGTTCAAACACTTCATTAAAGGCAACACAGCTGCTTCTCTCTCCTTTTCTTTCCCCCTGGAAAGCACAGCAGTTGTTACCATATACATTTCCAGCACAAGCTAAGCCTCTGTTGTGGTCCCAGGGATCACTCACCTGCACAGCCCCTGGGGAGGGATGGCTGTGCACCTGGGCAGGACAAGGGACATTCGGGGGGCACTCAGCACTCTGAGGCAACACCAGTACTTTAAAGCACTACCAGCATTAATTCCAGGCATCTGCAAATACCCAGGCATTTCGCTTGCCTGAACTGAAATGTTTTGGTTGTATTTAATGTGCCCGAGTCCCATTGGCTTTGGCATCACCCACCCACCAAGGGACAAGGTGGTTCTGTCAAAGGGGGGGCTCTGCAGGACACCCCCGAGTGGCTGAGGAACAAATCCCAGTTTGGGCTTCTGGATTTCCTGAAGTCACCTAAGACAGTTCTCTGCAATCACTCCCACTGGTGCTCCTCACTCAGTCTCTATGCCATTCTATTCTACTCACAGAAGGGCTCCAGTAATCATGATCTCCGAGTGGAAAGGCCCAGCTACTCCATGGCTCTTCCAGAACCAACTGGAACCAATCCTAACATCAGCTGGAGCCAGGAAAACCCAGAATAAAAAATAAAAAATAGTTCTTGACTGAAAAACCCAGTGACCAGCTGAAAAGTAAAGCAAGTTAATGTAAGAACAGTTTTATTCTCTTGTATAAGCCCTGAGTGCTGATACAGAACAAATCACTGTGAGACTCAGATCCAAGCCAAAAACAAGGAAAAAGCTGGTATTTTGACTGCCCTTAAAAATCATTGTCCTTCCTTTCAAAATATTACTGGATCAGTTAAATGTTACTCCAATTATCCTTCAGCTAGAACAGCAGCTCAGGTCACAAGACACTGCAGAGACAGAACCCAAGGATTTCTCTGCAACTGTGGTTAAACTCTTGTAGGAAAGAAAGATTTGGCTCAAGGAATCCCGCTGTAACCATCAACAGCTTTACTATCCACTTCCCTTCAGTATTTCTTTTCAGCTTCATGAAGCTGAACTAACTTTTAAATGAACAAAAAATTGCACACTTAGAAGAAAAACCACATTTCATACCAGTAATAATTTAATGGAAGCTTAAAAATTCCCCATTTCCATGGTCCCCATGTCAGTGAACCCCCACAGCTCCTCTCCAGCCCCTTGGCTCTGTCACACACAGCAGTTCATTATCCATAAATGAAAAAATTCACTTTTAATCTGTAATTTAGCAATTTCCATCCCAACTCCCAGACACTAGCAGTGTTTACAGCACAGACTGCTCTTGTACACAGAACTATAAATCTGGAACATTCAGACCTCAGCAGGACCCACAGACCTCAGATTCAGTCTATCTGCACAACTGTAGGTAAAAGAACATTTTACAGCAGCTTTTTCACCCCAGATATTTCAAAGCTCTCCCCCTGGATTGCTGACTGAGAACAATGGACAACAGGAACCATTTCTGTACAGTTTCCAAAAGCAAATCCCAGCTCTCAATCCCTGTGCCAAAATCCACCCAACCCCTGCCCACCTGTGGTTCTCCAGATGAGGTACAAAAAGCACCTGCAGGGACTGGAGCGAGCAGCCCTCTCTCTTACAGAAGTGTTAAGCGAAACAAAAGCTCCACAAAACAGTGTCCAACATCTCAGGGCAAGGCCAAGGGAACAGAATGCACATTTGCTCACATTTCTGTTGCTGTCCCTGTAACAACCAAAGGAACAGTCACACACAGGCAGGCGAGAACAGAGCCCATGTCCTGCTCCACAGCAGCCTCCACCTTCAGCACCATTTACTCTCCTTCCTTCAACCCGTTTTAAAACTTTGGGTCCCAAGCCCTGGTGTGGTTTGTCAGCACCAAACAGCCTGTGCAGCAAACCTCAACTTGCTGCACAGAACCCCTTGTTTCTATCCTATATACACGCTCTTGGTGCTCTCCAGAGAATTTTCCCTTCCCAGATGCAGAGTGAGAGCCCAGTCCCTGCTATAAACAAATTCCAAACCAGTTCTGAGTGTTTCTGCAGGACTCCAAGCTGTCCCCTGTGGTCAGAGGGTTGTACCTCTCTGAGCCCCTACAGACACAGGGTCAGGGTCACACAGTGCTGAAGGCATCAGGCTGGAACCCTTTCCCCTGCCACATGAAGGGATGAACACACACAGCACACAGATTTGGGCAAAGGCAACTCCCTGCCATCGTCTCCAATTCACTGCAAAGGGACTCAACTGGGTTTTGCTGAACTCCTGCTTCCCAGGAAAGCCCCCGGTCCCACAGTGCCCCACGTACACATCCCACCACTCCATAAGGGAATGAAAGGAGTCAGGCATATCCTTTCCCTCTCCACACATCACAGCAGTGAAGTTCTACAGTTTGATAAGGCATTTTCATCTTCAGTGAGAATCCAAGCACAGGCATGGACTCTGCCAAGTAGCGTGATCCTTTAACTTCATGTCCCAACAGCTTGGAATTCCCGGATCTCCTGCTCTGTCCTCAGTCCCAGTGGGCACTGTTTATTTAACACCAGTACAGAGCAGGGCTAAATAAACCCCTCAGTAGCTGGACCTCGGTATCTTTCACAAAGAGGGACACACAAACGAGCACTTTTTGCAGCTCTCTGGCTTTATCCCACAGCCTGCCTTTTTACAGTACCCCTATATATAAATTAGAAAGAGATAAAGCCAAGGATTCTCTGCAGCGTCCATGAAAAACTCCAGTCCGTGTCCCAGTCCCTTGGGATGGGGCTCACTGAGGGGTGAAGGTGAGGATCATCCAGCTGATGACGAAGTAGAAGAGGAAGATGGGGTAGACGACGAGTGCCTTGCGGTTGGGGGGCTGGCTGTCCGCCAGGAACGCCGTGGAGGCTGCGGAGACACACACAGACACACTCACACTCAGCACAGTCTGACCCCCCCAGGGCACCAACCCAGCTGAGGGGCTGCACTGCAACTGCGCTGAAGGGCAAGCCAGAGCAACCCACTGCTCAAACTACGCGGTGGAATCCCCAAGTACAACTCCCTTTGTCACAGAGAAAGGTAAATCATTGAATCACAAAACGGTTTGGGATGGAACGGACTTTAAAGCCCCTCCAGTTCCACCACCTTCCACTAGCCCAAGTTGCTCCAAGGACTGTCCCACCTGACCATAAATGCCAATTAACATTCTGTAATGAGAGTCAGATTTACAGATTAAGAACAGGAGAAATCATGCAAATGCAACTGTATAAAAGCAGCATTTTCTAATAGTATTCGTAACATAATCACAGAACAAAACACCAGCAGTCTTATATAAAGTTTAATATTGAATTATCATCCTGCTGCCCAAGGCATTTTGCATATGACGATGGAAATCACCAGGAGCAGAGGCAGAGGCTGAACCTATGCCAGTATGAGGATTGGAAGAATTAGGGTCCAGAAGGCAAGTCCTGTGAGGAGCAGTGATGGAGCTGGGGGGGCTCAGCCTGGAGAGAAGGAGGCTCAGGGGGGACCTTCTGGCTCTGCAATCCCTGACAGGAGGGGGGAGCCGGGGGGGGGTCGGGCTCTGCTCCCAGGGAACAGGGACAGGAGGAGAGGGAACGGCCTCCAGCTGTGCCAGGGGAGGCTCAGGTTGGACATCAGGAGGAATTTCTGCCTGGAAAGGGTGGTGAGGCCTTGGCAGGGGCTGCCCAGGCAGGCGATGGAGTCTCCACCCTGGAGGTGCCCAAGGCAGGCCTGGCCGTGGCACTCAGTGCTCTGGGCTGGGGGACAAGGTGGGGATGGGGCAGGGGGGGACTCCATGGGCTGGGAGGGCTTTTCCAACCTCACTGATCCTGGGATTCTTTCTACAGTAGTGCAGCTGCCCAGGAAGCACCTCAGACTACATCACCCACTGGCTCTGCCCGAGGGACTGAGCACAGCACGCAGGGCACCCGCAGGGTACTCACCCAGCGTGGACCACCCAAACATGGCCACGACCACGATGAGGCGGATGATGAAGCTGATGGTGCCGGCGCCCGCCAGCAGCACCAGCCTGCACACCAGCATGGCCACGGTGAGCGGCAGCACACAGTACCCCAGCACACACAGGCTCTGGAAGAAGGAGCTGCACAGGGACAGGGAACAGGAGAACAGCAGTCAAAGCAGGCAGTGCAGAACTCCACACACAGGAGGGTGTGAACTGCCACCAACAAACCCACTCACATGGTCCCTCCGAGGAGCTTGGAGTTGAGGGTGATGACCACGGCACCAAACCAGATGATGACAAAGACCTCGGCAAACTGGGGCCCCCCATCGTCCTTGCTGTCTGCAGAGCCACCCTGCAGCATCCTGGGGGGAAGCAGAGAGACACAGCTGGTGTGGGGACAGACAGAAATCCTGCTGTGGGGGACAGACAGACGGAGCCCTCAGCACTGACTGAATTTTCCTAGACTGGGGAAGATGGCAGAACAGGATCCCCACCATTTTACTAACTGGTTTCTGTACTCTGAGTACAAAGGTGTGCCTCAGTTACTTACAGACCTCACCAACATTTCCCTCCCATCAGGCAGATCCGACACCCCAAACTCGTGGGAACCACCATCTCCTCCCGTCCCTGATCCCTGGACTAGCCTCCCTTCCCCACCGCTCTCAGGACACGCAGCTCCTACACCACGGTCCTGGCTGCAGCTGGGGGCAAAGTGCCTGGGACACCTTCAGCAAAACCACTCCTAGGACAGGGACCAGGAAGTGCTCACCCTTAAATCCTAAATTTAAGGATGGGAGGTGCTAAAGGGCTTGAAGTGTCACAAACACATTTTATAAGAGAAGCCAATGAGGCAGAGCTTGTACAAGGCAGAGAGGGATCAGATGAGCTTGATCTCAACATGTTAATCCATTTTGAACATTTAATTTCCCAAATGCACAAAACCCCACATCCTCCAGCAATACTCACAGAGCCAGAGAGACGCACAGCACCAATGGGCCCCACAGATCCCCTGCAGGGAGAGGGAAAACACATCACAAATGTCACAGAACCATCTCAGTTCCATTCTCCCAGGAGTGACAAAGCCTCCTTCCCAACTCCCAAGGTGCCATTTTGCACATCCCACTGTTCTGCAATTTCCTTATTCAGCACCTTACACCATACTCTGCAATGAAATTCATTCAAAACCCACCAGCTGCCAAAGGCCCAAGTTCTGCCCCCTGCCCAGAGCCCTGGCCACATCGTGCCTGTCCCAGCTGCTGATCAGAGCAGGATCCCTGTCCCCCTTCCCCTGTCCCCCCGGCACGTACAGTCCCTGAGGAGCGCGCTGCTCTTCCGGGGGTACATCACGTGGACAAACTTCTTCCCCACGGCCTTCAGGTCCCTCATCTGAAACACACACACAACACCCCAATTGCCCCCTGCACAAAAGTCACAGTTCCTGGTAAAGCAGAGAGACAGAAGTAAAGGAGCAGTTATGGTAAATCAGCAAAAGGTCCAGCCCACACAGTTCTGCAGCATCCTCTGTGACAGACATTGCCTATTTCCTCTGCGTCCCTTAACAACCACAACACCTCGTCCTTTTCCTTAACAAACACAATATTATATCCTTTAATAACACCAGAATAAAAACAACAACATTTTCTCCTCTAGGGAAAGAAACAAAGAATCCCATCCATCAGGAGAGTTTCCTTCCTCTGAGGCCTCTGCCCTTGCACTGATTTCAGTACCACAGAGAAACTCTGGGGCCACAATTCAGACACTTTTTGACCCACAGAACTTTGTTTTACATGACGAGTTGTAAAACATTCCCCAGACTTACACCGAAGTGCAGGTCACAGGTTTCGCCCAACAGCCGCCAAAGACTCTGGAAAACCCAAGTTTTACCCTGACCAGAGGCCCAGACTCACAATCGTGTCCTTGACAGGCTCGTCCAACGTGGAGTAATCCTCATCAGGAGAGTGAGATCCCACGGGGACAGTGATCTCCCCTTCCACTGGGATGTCCTGGGATATGGACACATCCGCCAGACCTGGGAACTGAACGGATTTCAGCCTTTAGGTGGGAATACAAACCAGCTCACGTGCATCCCCGATGGGCTGGGGATGGACACAGCCACCCATGTAACAAAACCTTCCTGATGTGAACAGCTCAAGGCCTGACCAGGTGAGCTGAGCTGTGTTTACAGATGTGTAGGAGCATTTCTCCAGTCCCTCCCATAAGATGCTCTCTGCTCTCTTTCGGCAGCAATAACTGAAGGGAGGAAGGAGCAGTTTGTGTTTTAAGTAAAGCCACGGGAACCACCTGCCTTTGGAGGGGAATGACTCCCATGGAGAACAACCCGTGGGGAGCTGCACCGACCCCCCGGCCCGGGCACGCACCGAGGCTGTGACACCACCAGGTTTCCCCGGGCTGATTCCCCGCACCCCGGCGGGGCGGGAGAGCTGTGGGTGCCTGCAGGGGGAGGAAACAGCACAGCCCGGCCGGTTCTACGGCCAACACCTCGGCAGGGAGGGCAACAGCTCCCAGTCCCTGCTCCTGCCTCCGTCCCTGTGCCCGGGCCCGTCCGGAGCCGCCGCCCGCCGAGGCCTCCAGACTCCGCTCCGCCCGCGCTGACCGACAGCGAGCCCTGCGAGGGGAGGGCGGCAGGGCCGAGCGCCCGCGGACACCTCCTGTTCCCCTGAGCCCCCCGTCCCTCCCATACTCCTCTCGTCCCCCCCGAGCCCCTCGTCCCTCCCATCCTCCCCGTCCCCCTCTCCCCGCTCACCAGGGCTCCCCCAGCCCCGCTCCCCTCCGCCGCCGCCATCTTGGCTGCCCCGGCGACGTGGAGGGTGCTGTGATGTCATCACCACGTGCCGTCGCGTCACGCGCCGCCGCCGGGGTGTCCCTGGCAACGCGGCGGGCGGCACCGTCCCCGCCCCTCCGCCAGGGGGCGCGCTCAGACTGGCCCGCGCGGCGGCGGCAGTGACCGGAGTGGATCGTACGGACCGGACTGACCGGAGCAACCGGAGCGGATCGTACGGACCGGACTGACCGGAGCAACCGGACCGGACTGTACGGACCGGACTGAGCGGAGCGACCGGAGCGGATCGTACGGACCGGACTGACCGGAGCAACCGGACCGGACTGTACGGACCGGACTAGCTGGAGTGACCGAACCGCACTGTACGGCCCGGCCTGACCGGAGTGTCCAGACTGCACTGTGCGGCCCGTTCCCGGTGCCCCGGGCGGCACATCCCGGACTACACGTCCCGGCGGCGGCGCGGCCGGAAGCGGGGCCCGGGCGGGGGTCCCTCGGCCCGGCCCCGCAGCAGCGGCAGCGGCGGCAGCAGCGCCGGGGCGGGGCCGGGGCGGGGCCCGCGGGATGTCGGCGGCGCGGGGCGGCGGGGCCGGTGCGGGTGCGGGTGCGGGTGCGGGCGGCGGCGCTCCCGGTGTCCGTGCCCGTCGGTAGCCCAGCCCGGCGGAGCCGCCCCCGGCCCGCGGCCATGGGGCACCCGCCGCTGGAGTTCAGCGACTGCTACCTGGACAGCCCCGACTTCCGAGAGCGCCTCAAGTGCTACGAGCAGGAGCTGGAGCGAACCAACAAGTTCATCAAGGAGGTGATCAAGGACGGCAACGCGCTCATCGCCGCCATCCGCGGTGAGCGGGCCGGGCGGGCCGGGCGGGGGTCCCTCCTCTTCCCCTCGGCAGCCGCGTCCCCGGGAGATGCCTGGGCCCCGTTCCTGCGCCGGGCATCCTGTGTCTGCCCTTATCCCCATCCCTGTCCCCACACCGCCCCCGCCACCCCGGGGCTGGCCCTGTGTCTGCCCTTATCCCCATCCCTGTCCCCACACCGCCCCCGCCACCCCGGGGCTGGCCCTGTGTCTGCCCTTATCCCCATCCCTGTCCCCACACCGCCCCCGCCACCCCCACGCAGGGCCTGGTCGGACCCCCATCCATCCCCGCTGGGCTGGCACCAGTGGGGGAACCGGCCAAGCCCTCGCAGGCACCCCCTCGTTTAAGGACAGCAGTTCCTGCTGGCGGAAGGTGCTCCAATATTATTTTGCTCCAAAGCGTGGTTGGAGCGTGGTGGGCCATCGCATGTCATCTCCTCACCCCGTGCTTCCTTGGGGGGCACTTGGAGGATGAGAGGGGCACTCCAGATCCCTCCTAGAGTCCTTGTTTTGTTGGTGGTGTTTTGTCATTGTTCAAATCATGATGAGAATTTTTCCCAATGAAATGTCGATTTCAGTGTTGACTTTGAGGGAGTTGCCTGTTCAGAAGTGCTGACAGATCACCAGAGCACCCGGCCAGGTTGTGTCACCTGAAACCACCATGTCCCACATGCTTGACACGTTTCTGACCTGTCCGACTGCTTTGAATTGTTTTCCCTTCACGGAGCTGTAGCTACACCTTCATATACACCTTCCCTGTGTCATCTCCCACATCTCTTTGGACTCGATGACCTTAAAGGTCTTTTCCAATCCAAGTGGTTCCACGATTCTCTGCTGTTATAAATGCACTAGAACCAGCCCAGGCCAGCAGAGCAGCCACGGGGGCAGTGAAGGCAGACACAATCCCTGCTGGTCACACACGGTTTTCCTGCCAGCTGGTTGCTTTCAGTTGGTGTTAATAGGTTTAGCTGCTGCCCTTTTGTTCAGAATAATTCAGAGCTTCCTTGTTATCGAGGCCATGGCTGGAATAGCCCATGTTTGCCCATCTGGAAGCAGCAGAGACAAAAGCTGGTGTGACTGAAACTGCCAACGTCACAGGGCTGTGAGACCTAATGTGAGCTACAAAAAGACAAATCTCTGCTCAGTCCAGGGCAAAAAAAAACCCCCAAAAATGGAAACCAGAGGGATTTTGACAACCTGAGGGTTAATGGAAATGCTCTTCTTTTCCTTCATCACTTTGCTTAAAACCATTTCCCTTTTTAGTCTTTGTAGTGTGCATGGATGTGCAGGGGTTTTGCTGGCTCAGCAGACCCGGCTGAGGGAGACTGGCCGAGGAGGAAGGGGAGAAGTAGAAGGAAGCTGAGCACACCCAGAGATCACAGAGAACCCCCAGGGCTGAGGAAACCCCAGATTTCTTCCCTGAAGTACTGTTTGTGCTGTTTCTAAGCACAGCTGATCCAGCAGGCTGGGGAGGTGCTGGGGCTGATCCTGCCCGGGCAAAAGGAAAGGAACTGCAGTTCTCCATCCTGGGGAAATGGGCTCTTCTGAGCTCTTTGTGACCTGCCCCAAGCAAAACCACATCAACTGACAGGCTGGGGCTGCTCAAACCTGGCTTTAGTTTTCTGTCTGCCAGGTAATACAGACAAAGTGATTGTGGCTTTCCTTGGAGTTTGGCAGGGCCTTGAAATCCATGGGTGAGCCGAGGGGTTTGGGCTGTCCATCGTGTGAGGAGCTCAATGTTTGTCATTCCTTCCTGGGCTGCTGGCACAGATCTTGCTGGCAGTGTCCAGGCAGGTCAGGCTGTCTCAGCCAACCTGCTGGGTACCAAAATACAGGGGGTGTTCGGCAGGGTCTATAGAGGATGACGAGGACAAACCTGTCAGCAGCACAAGCTGGACATCCAGCATCTAGTCAGGGCCATTTCAGTGACTTCTGTTTGGGATTTTTGGGTGTGTTTTGACTTTTGTTTAGCCCCTTTACTGGTAGATTAATTTGCCATAATCCCATTTGCAGCTAATTAATCTGTGAACTCGAATGGAAATGTTTTAAACAAGTCATTCAAGTAGCATGGAATTCTAAACATGGAGTATTAAAAGCGTCCAGGGTGTATATCTGGCTGGTGGGTGCTGTGGTGTTAAAGGGATTGGTTGTTTCCCAAGTTTGCCTGGCTGCAGTGCCAGGCAGGAGTCCCTGCCAGTGGGACCCAGCTGGGGCAGCAGCTTGGACAGCCATGTCTGTGCTCAGACCTGTCTCCTGCTATTTATGCCCAGCAGTCTTGAGGCTTTTGGTGACCCAGGCCCTTCCTCACCTCAGGAGAGGTGAGTCCCCCCTTACCCCTTACATGGGATGTGCCATGGCATGAACATCTCCAGGGATTGCCCTGCCAGGGAGTCCCATCCATTGGCACAGCTCCGGGGCATTTCTCCTGCTGGCGTCGAGCTGAAACTGCCTCCTCTGAGCTTCCAAGTGGGGAGACAAGAGCAGCAGGACCCTCGGTGGTGGGACCTGGGCCTGGTGCAGAAATTCATCAGCTTCAGAGCCTGCTGCTCTGCAGGAGTCTGCTGACTTCAGCTTCCTGAACATTCCTAATGAAAAGCTGCATTTCCCTTCCTGTCTCCATCCCAGGCTGACCCGTGGCTGGGTTGTGGGTAAGTGCTTTCCCAGGCAGCAGGGCTTCCCTGCCTCTTACTCGTGCTGTGCCTGGCGCAGTTGTCCAGGGGCCAGCACTGGGATCCCTCCCTGGGAAGCTCTGCCTGTTGGGTCCATGTGGGGCAGAGGCTCTGTGTGCCTCCATTCCCTGTGCGGGGCAGGTGGTGCTGGAGGGCTGTTACCGAATGAGGGAGCTGCTTTGGAGGCTTTAACTCATTTGGCCTGTCATGGATTGAGAGAAACTGGTTCCACCCTGCCATGCGACTGATGGGTGGAACAAATAAAATCCAGGGGTGAAATCCTCCCGGGGGTCTGCAGCCCCCACACCCTGATGAGGGCCCTTCTGCAGTTACAGCCCCATCAGTGCTGCCTTTGAGTGGGGTATTTTCTCTTGCTGACTGACACCCCCCAACAGCTGAATACAGTCCCAGCTATACATGGGGCACCACAAGGGAACAAAGTACAGGGTTGTACCAAGTGAGAAATTAAACTCACTAAAGCAGAGAATAATATTGCTCATTTGTAATATTCATTTGGGCGTGACAGCCAGTGATAGAAATTAAGTTACTTTGAGTTAGAAATGGGAGTTATTTTTGTTGTGAAGGTGGCTGTATCCCTTCTTTTTTGTGCCAGGAATACAAAGAGTTGCTGGCAGTCCCATCCGTTGCACTGGCAGTGCTGAGGCCACTGTGGCCTGGCCCTGGTCAGGGAGGGAGAAGGACTGGGAGTTGTCCATCCCCTCAGGCTGGTATCTGTCCCCTTAGGGCCAGGGCCAGGGCCAGGGCCTGGTGTGGGCACAGGAGATTCAGCCCCGTCAGCAGCCCTGGGCCACCGTGGCCAGCACTGGTGTGACAGAGAAGCCTTGCTAGGGCCACACACTCAAGGCCACAAGGGATGCCAGAAGTTGTGACTGCAAGAACAGCTGCTTTACAGCAGTTTCTTTCTGTGGTTTTTTTAATCTCTCCTGCTCACTGAACTCTGTCGTGTGTGTGGTAATGCAAACTCATTTATTTCCCCTGTTCTTTGATCTGCTCTCCCAATTAAATATCAAATGGAATTGCAGAAATGTCAGGTTGAGGCTTTTCTCATTAATATCTGAGTACTGTCATGGTGAAAATTGTCCTTTGAAGCTGGAGGAGCTCTGAGTTCTCATGCAAATGTTGTGTCTGTGGTTTTGCACTTGATTTCTGTCCTGTGTGAAGCTCTGCAGATGTGCCTGTCAGCAGTCAGCCTCCCTGGGCACTGCGAGCACTTTATCCTGAAGGATAACGTGATAAAGGAATGTGTAGGGACTGGGTGTGCTTTTCTCCAAGAATTGAATTGTATGGGGGTTACCCGGGGAAGGTCCCACCATCATCATCATCCCTGCAGGTCCCTGCAGCGCTGTGTGTGGGAACTGGCTTGTCCCCCAGGGAACTCCATGTCCTCCAGCGTGGCAGACCCATTCTGGACAGGTTTCTGTGCTGTCGTTGGATGTGGTGCCCGAGGGTTTAATGCTGTGGAGCATGGGAAGCAGCATGGCATTGGAACAGGTTATTTTAATGGGATTGAAGCTGCCCAGAGAAGCCTGTCTGCCTGGTTCTCCAGAAACCCGGGTCCTGGTTCCTGGGGAGGCTGTAGGGACATCTGGAATCTGTTCTTGCAGTATATTACAGCCAGATCCTGATTTCTGTGTCTGAACAACCCTAAAGTTCCTCTGGAAAAGCGGGAAGAGGAAAGAGTCTGTCCCACCCAGGAGAGACTGCAGCTCTCCAGGCAAACGTTAGCTGTGCTGGAAGTGCCCAGCTCGGCGTTGAGGTACCTCAGTAACAATATCCTGACCCATAAAGACAGCTTAGCCCTGAGGCAGCATCTGGCACATGGGTGAGGATGTGCATAGGGACCTCTGTTTTGTGTGGGGATGTCCAGAGCTCTCTGCCTCACGTGGGGATACCCAGGGCCCTCTGCCTTGAGTGGATCAACTGTGTGATTCCTTCCTCTGGGAAAAACCACATCACCTTCATCCCTCAGTGAGCTGGTGTCCTTTGAGGGGAGCAGAAGTTCAAATCCCAGTCCCCTGCAGCAGCTCCTAAGTGATGCTCATCCTGTAAAGAAAGGTCTCTGTGTCTGTACATCATCACAGTGGGGCTTCAGCTCTCCCAGAGAGCACCTGTGCCCTGCAGGTGCCCTCAGCACAGGGGCGTCTCTGCAGCCAATGAAGCCGCTCACACTCCTGGGCTGTAGGCCCTGAGTGCAGGATCTGGGGCCCCAGTTAGTGCAAATCTAAACCAGACATGCTTTAACCATAGACTAAAACACAATAGCAGAAAAAAGAACAAAACCCCTCCCAGAGGCCAA